GGGGATCTCTTGAAAACTTCAGAGCTAAGCCCCATCCCACCTCCACGCACGGGGTCCCCTCTCCAGCAGGAGGGCACCCCAGGCTTGCCTGCACACATGGGGATCTCTTGAAAACTTCAGAGCTAAGCCCCATCTCACCTCCACGCACGGGGTCCCCTCTCCAGTAGGAGGGCACCCCAGCCTCGCCAGCACGCATGGGGATCTCTTGAAAACTTCAGAGCTAAGCCCCATCCCACCTCCACGCACGGGGTCCCCTCCCCAGCAGGAGGGCACCCCAGCCTCGCCAGCACGCATGGGGATCTCTTGAAAACTTCAGAGCTAAGCCCCATCCCACCTCCATGCACGGGGTCCCCTCCCCAGCCAGAGGGCACCCCAGCCTTTCCTGCACACATGGGGATCTCTTGAAAACTTCAGAGCTAAGCCCCATCCCACCTCCACGCACGGGGTCCCCTCTCCAGTAGGAGGGCACCCCAGCCTCGCCAGCACGCATGGGGATCTCTTGAAAACTTCAGAGCTAAGCCCCATCTCACCTCCACGCACGGGGTCCCCTCTCCAGCAGGAGGGCACCCCAGCCTCGCCAGCACGCATGGGGATCTCTTGAAAACTTCAGAGCTAAGCCCCATCTCACCTCCACGCACGGGGTCCCCTCTCCAGTAGGAGGGCACCCCAGCCTCGCCAGCACGCATGGGGATCTCTTGAAAACTTCAGAGCTAAGCCCCATCTCACCTCCACGCACGGGGTCCCCTCTCCAGTAGGAGGGCACCCCAGCCTCGCCAGCACGCATGGGGATCTCTTGAAAACTTCAGAGCTAAGCCCCATCCCACCTCCACGCACGGGGTCCCCTCTCCAGCCGGAGGGCACCCCAGCCTTGCCTGCACGCATGGGGATCTCTTGAAAACTTCAGAGCTAAACCCCATCCCACCTCCACGCACGGGGTCCCCTTTCCAGCAGGAGGGCACCCCAGCCTCGCTTGCACGCACGGGGATCCCTTGAAAACTTCAGGGCTAAGCCCCATCTTACCTGCATGTATGGGGTATGGAGGGCACTCCTCTCCCCATTTCCTTTCATTTTTTCTCAACAGGATGGATTTGTCGTGGTCAGACGTTTTCGTCTTCCTCCGTGTTGTCTCGTCTTTAAGGAACTTAGAGAAGACCATCCGTGCCCAATGCTGCCAGCATATCTGCCGGAACACCTGGGAAATAAATTGTTGTTCTCAGTGTAGATGTTCTGCTGTTGTTTGCACTCCGGAAAGCAGGCTGGATGGGGGACGGCACTGCAGCTCTCCCCCCACCCATGGGAGAATGCATGCAGTCCCAAAGGGCTGCCCGCTGATAAGTAGCACCACCCTGGGAAGCCTCAGCCTCAGCCAAGAGCTGGGGGAGAAGCAGGGGCTCCAGAGCTGCGCAGGGCCCAGGGGAGCAGCGAACTGGGATGGGGGTAGTGGAAGGTTCCACCACGTGCCGGGTCCCACCGACACTGCTCTTAGCAGGACAGAGAACATCACACTTGTGCAGCTTCTGCCATTTCTTGCTCACAACCTGCAGCAGCACCCAGCTGCATCACTGCACCTGCACTGCCGGTGGAGGAGATGTAGCTGCCCCCAGGATGCCGTGTCCCCAGGTAGCCTCTACCCCCGCAGGAGCTGAGTGGTGCCCCACAGCAGGAAGCATCACCAGGACCCCAACTGCCTTTAGGAAGTGCTACTTGCACCCCAGCACTCCTGCACCACTGCTCCCCGTTCCTCTCCATTCCCACTGCAGCCGCTCCATCTTCCTGGAGAGCAGTGGGCGTGTGCCTTCAGTGCTGGAAGACAAGAAGGAAGTTGCAGGGTGGGGGTCCAGCTTCAGAGAGGAACGTGGTACCAGGCACCCCGTCACCCCACACACAGGAGGAGGGATGCAAGAAGTGCTTTTGTCCTCTATCTGGCACCAGCCTCAGCCACAAACTATTTCCAAAGGGCACCATACAGAGGCTGGAGATGCAAGGACAGGGCTCACCTTGCTGCTGAGCTGGGAAAGGCTTTGCTGCACTTCTATGCTCACTGCAGCTCCAGACCTGCGGGAAGAGGAACTCTGTGAGCTACCTGCAGGGGGATGCAGCCCATGCACCACGGTTGCATGATTTATGATTTGACCTCTGACTGGAGATTTGCTTACAACCACTGTCACCATAGTGGTCGCCTCATATGGCACCTTCAGGGTGAAGAAGTATGCTGCGGAAGCCCTCAAAGGCCTTTTCTAGTTGTATGTTGTCATCTGGTCTCTTCCCAAAGAGGTCTCTCTGATGCATTTCTGACCCTGGGTGGTTCTGATAGATCTCTGCTCTGTTACGTTCTTTCCTAGAGTAGAGTAGAGTAGAGTAGAGTACAGTACAGTACAGTACAGTACAGTAGAGTAGAGGAACATGGATAGGATAGGATAGGATAGGATAGGATAGGATAGGATAGGATAGGATAGGATAGGATAGGATAGGATAGGATAGGATAGGAGGTGGAAGGTTCCTACGAAGACCATGCACTTAACTGCCGGAGAGCTAACAAAAAGATAAAGCACATTTATAAGCGCATTGTCCAAATGTCCCTTGGACACTGACAGTCATGGGACATGAGCTGCCTCACTAGGAAGCCCCTTCCTGTTTTCAACCACCTTCACTAGAAATAAATTTGTCCTGCTATCCATTCTGAACCTCCCATGTCATACCTCTGTGCTGTTCCTTTGTGTCCTTGCATCTGTGACAAGGAAGAAGTAAATGGCACCTCCCTCTCCATTTCCCTTTGGAAAGTTTTGGAGACAAAGAAGGTTACCTCCGTTCATCCCTACCAGCCAGCCAGACCATCTTCAGCTTCTCCTCACACCACATGCCTTCCAGCACTTTTACCAGCTTTGATGCCTTCCTTTGCATCCATGCAAGTATCGTAACATTCCCTCTAGATTGTGGAGCACAGAACTGCACACAGTATTTAAGATGAGGTTGCACCAGCACTAAATAAAGCAGAAGAATTGCCAGCCGCAGCTGGCTGTGCTGTGTTTAATGCACCCCATCCACTAAGCCAGAGACCTTCTAACAGAAGATGAGATTACTAAGGCAGGACATTCCCTTCATGAACTCCTGGGGACTATGCCTGATAAAGGCTTTGTTCTTTAAGTATCTCCAATAGCAGGTAATATCCTTAACTTTTCCAGGGCCTGAGCTTAGACCAGCAGGTCTGTTTTCCGGGCATTCTCTGCTCCCTTATTCTTGATCAGCGTAACACTATCTAGGTTCAAACCAGCAGTGCCCTCCCACGACCTTTGGCAAATAGGTGGAAAGGGTCCAGCTTTAACATCTATTAAGTCCTTCAGCACTCTAGGATGAATCACATCAGGCCCTATAGACTTATGAACACTGAGCTCGTACAACTGTTTCTTCACAATTTCTGGCCACAGTTGGGAAGTCACTGCTCTGCCGGTCATGGTCTTCAAATTCAGAGGACTCAGCAGCCTGAAACCTCTCACTGTTATGAAAAACTGAGACTAAAACGCAAAAGCTAACAAACAAACAAACAGCAAAAAAAAGACAACCAAGAAAAATCGGCCACATTAAATGCCTCAGCCTTTTCCTTATGCTACTACAAATGATGCAGAAGGTGATGTCTCCTCTCCTAAGTCATTACAAAGCATATCAGCATTGCATACCGCAGCTGAAACTGGTTATGATTTTATGATGATCTGTGGTCGTTAGCTGAAGCTGACTAACTCAGACTCTGTAGTTATATGCCTTATATGTCAAAGACAGAGGGTATATTATGGCATCCTCAGCAAAAACTTACAGGGAGTTCAACAGTCTGTATGCAATGGAGCTTGTATCAAACAGAAATCTTACTATAAGTTTCCTCTTTTTTTCTTTTTTCTTCTGGCACTCTTGGCCAGACTCCCAAATTCTAGGTATGACACTGTAGTGCCCTGTGAGGATTTCCACAAATTTGACTGTGGCAGCTGGGAAGGCAAACACTCAAGCACAAAAGTATCAGGAAACATCTTTGATGTGTTGTTGGAAGAAAACCAGCTGATATTGAAAAGGCTTTTAGGTAGGAAGAGGCCAAGCCCCACCTCACCTCAGCCTCCCTTCAGGTGCAGAGTGCGATAGGGTCTCCCCTGACTCCCCGCCAGGCTACGCAATCCCAGCTTCCTGAGCTGCTCCTCGTAAGACTTGTGCTCCAGACCCCTCACCAGCTTTGCTGCCCTTCTCTGGACACGCTCCAGGGCCTCCATGCCTTTCTTGCAGTGGGGGGCCCAAAAGCGAGCACAGTACTCCAGCTGCAGCCTCAGCAGGGCTCAGAACAGAGGGATGGTCACTTCCCTGCTCCTGCTGGCAATGCTATTTCTGATACAAGCCAGGACGCCATTGGCTTTCACGGCCACCTGGGCACACTGCTGGCTCACGTTCAGCCCAGCACGGACCAATACCCCCAGCTCTGCTTCCTCTACACACTCTTGCGGGGCAGCCACTCTGCCCCAGACCTGTAGCGCTGCCTGGGGTTGTTACGGCCAAAGTGCAGGACCAAGGATTCCCTTCGTGTGGCCTCACCCCACACAGCTAGGACATGCCGGGCCGCATGAGATCTCATCCCAGTCCTGCTCAGTGGCATCATCTATTTGAACAGGAGCGAGCTGATGAGCAGCTTCTCGATAGGGTTGGCATTTGCTTTACACAATCGAAATCCGCTGCCTCTGTAAGTCTTTGCCTCTTACTACCACTAGATGGTACCCTTAGCGAGCATTTCCCCTACCTCTGCGAAGTCCAGTTTAATACTCAACCGCAACGTTTCGGAATTGATCAAGTCTGCAGTTTTCTCACGAACAGTACAGGGCCAGGATGCTGGCGCTGGCTGCTAGTGACTGCTAGTAGTAGACTCAAGTGAACAAAGCTGAAGGTGTGTTCAGTATATCAAGCCCAGTACAAAGGCAAGTATACACTGCTATATCACTTGCTCTGCCCTTACGGTGGGCGGGAAGGGGAAGGAGGGGATTTACTCCCCCAGTCTCCACGCAGAGGTTTAGGGATGCAGAGTTTAGGGACGTGAGAAATACAAGGATCCTGACAGCTCTAGTGCTCCCAGAAAGGCATCCTTGAAGAGCAGCCTTGAACGGAGAAGCGTTACTGCGCTCTCCGTAGCTGCAGTTTGGTACTTCAAGGAGTAAACCCGCACTTCAGAAGGAATGGTAGAATCACAGAACCATTAGGGCTGGGAAAGAGCCTCACACGGCCACGTCCAGCCCCGACCCACAAAGAGTCCTTCCGCGGTTTGTCCTAAGGGAATAATGACGCTATTTGAATAGTCATCATCCAAGTTGCTTTATTGCTAAACCAATATCACGGGAGGACAAAACCGGCCACAGCCGGGGATGGCGGTGCCGTGCCCGCAGGCCGGCGCCCCGGACGCCGCTTTGAAGGGCGCAGCCCGGATGGGCGCTGCGGACGGAGCCCCGGGAGGTACCGACGGCCGCGGCCCCGCACCTCCCCGCTCCGCTCCGCCCCGGCCCGCACCTCCCCGCTCCGTCGGGCAGCCCCGGCCGCGGCCGCGGGAGAGACAGAGGAGGAGGCGCGAGGAGGAGGGCAGGAAGCCGTTGCCGGGGCGGCGCGCGGCTGGGGCGGGCGCTGTGCGGGTGGCAGCCCGTTGGAACGCGTGCCGTTGCCAGCGGCTTGCTTGCCGTGACGCCGCTAAGCACGGCTGCCTGCTTCACCCGGAGCCGAGCCGACGCCGCGCTGCCAGGTGGGGAAACGGGCCGGGCGGGCGGGGAGCGCTTCGAGCCGAGCAGCGCCGGGCTCTGCCGTCCTCCCGAGTGCCGGCACTGCCTCCGGCATTAAGGCGACCGGCAGCTTTCGTCGCCGCCCGTCTGCTTCGGCCGTTGAGCGACAGAAGACGCGGCGCTGGGGCGCGGCTCGGGCAGGCCGAGCCTAATCTCCGTCCCGCGTTCCTCCTCCTGCGCTCTTTTTCATGGAAAGCTGTGCCAGCTTCTGCAAACGTACAGCTTCCTGAAAAAGTAAGTGTGGTAAACCCGTAATTTTGTCAGTACGGGCAAGATTGTAACCGACAGCTAACAGAAAATAAACATGGGAGGGAGTGGGCTGAAAGAAAGATGCAGAACCACAGAAGTTGCAAGAAAATAACTGGTGATTATATTTCTTCCCACCTAGATATAACACAGTTGAACAGAGAGAGCTTGTGAAACAAGAGATCTTGAAGGCAAAGCACAAGGGCAGGGAGAAGCTCAGCCTCGGATAGGTGTACATGGCCGCAGCCAGCAGGCGGGCAAGAAGAGGCTAGCAGAGACACAGGCCAAAGAGCAGCGAGACCACCTCAGCTACGGAGCAGCCAGAGCGCCTGAAAATGCGACAAGCACCAGGTACCACAGACACGCACTCAGGGGAGAGACCCCTTCACCAGGGGCTGTTCCCCACGCACGGGGTCCCCTCCCCAGGTGTCACAGTTTTATGACTTTTGGCTATCAGTATTCCACACCATAACATCATGTACTGCACTGGGGGTTTCACTTTTAATGCTCAGTTCTGAATATTTGTCTGACGGAGAAGAACTACATTTCCCAAGGAGGCTTTGCGGTCAGCGAGGAGATATAACTGTGTGCAAGGTCACCTGATCTTTCTTCTTTGCCTGCTCTATTCCATCTGCACTTCTCCATTTGCAATTTGCCGTCTGCTGTTATCCATCTGCTCAACTGAACTGGACCTACACCTCAGCGTTGTGACAAGACCTACCTACCTGACAAACTCTCTATCTCTCTCACTGTATTTTGCTGATTGCTAAACGACATTGCTCGACGTCGGATTGTTGCTGCTGTTTTCAATTGCTTTGGAGTTGATGCAGGTGAAGAAGAGCATAGAAAGAAGAAGGATGAGGTGACCTTGCATACAGTTATATCTCCTTGCTGACCGCATAGCCACCTGGGGAAAAGTAGTTCTCCTCTGTCGGACAAATATTTGGAACTGAGCATTACAAATAAAACCCCCAGTGCATTACACGATGTTACCGTGTGTAATACTGATAGCCAAAAGTCAGAAAACAATGACATGGGCCACAGAACCGGGCCAAAGAGGCAGTAAACCGTTGACACCAGGTGGAGGGACCCCAGCCTCCCCCCCCACACAAGGGGATCCCTCGAAAACTCGAGGGCTAAGCCCCATCCCACCTCCATGCACGGGTTCCCCTCTCCAGCCGGAGGGCACCCCAGCCTTGCCTGCATGCATGGGGATCTCTTGAAAACTTCAGAGTTAAGCCCCATCCCACCTCCACGCACGGGGTCCCCTCTCCAGCAGGAGGGCACCCCAGCCTCGCCAGCACGCATGGGGATCTCTTGAAAACTTCAGAGCTAAGCCCCATCCCACCTCCACGCACGGGGTCCCCTCCCCAGCAGGAGGGCACCCCAGCCTTGCCTGCACGCATGGGGATCTCTTGAAAACTTCAGAGCTAAGCCCCATCCCACCTCCACGCACGGGGTCCCCTCTCCAGCAGGAGGGCACCCCAGCCTTGCCTGCATGCATGGGGATCTCTTGAAAACTTCAGAGCTAAGCCCCATCTCACCTCCACGCACGGGGTCCCCTCTCCAGCCGGAGGGCACCCCAGCCTTGGCTGCACGCATGGGGATCTCTTGAAAACTTCAGAGCTAAGCCCCATCCCACCTCCACGCACGGGGTCCCCTCCCCAGCAGGAGGGCACCCCAGCCTCGCCAGCACGCATGGGGATCTCTTGAAAACTTCAGAGCTAAGCCCCATCCCACCTCCACGCACGGGGTCCCCTCCTAAGGCCGAGGGCACCCCAGCTCCATCCGCACAGAAGGGGTACTGGGTCCCCTCCCCAGGCGGAGGGCTCCTTTCTGCCCGCATCCTTTTTTTTGTCCACAGGAAGCTCTGCATTATGGTCCACCTTTTTCATCATCCTCCCTATTTCTTCTGCTATTGAAGGATTTGTAGGAAGACAAGGCGAACACAAAGCACGTAGCATATCTGCGGGAACACCTGGATAATAAAAAATTTTGCTCACCTGACATTTTCCGC